GGGTCGCGGGTGCCCCCGCCTGGGCGCACAGAGCCCGGCTTCCCACCGCGCGATCCCGGCACCCGGCTTCCTGGAGGAGGGCCCGCGCCGCCTACCCCACTCACCAGTTCCCGGAGCCCACGATGCACACTTTCAGAGGCGCAGCTGCCATGGTGCAGGGGGAACGCAACAGCCCGGCAGTGAATCTCCAGACAGCTCTGGTCCCGAGGGCGCTCGGCCGTGCCCTTAGCGGCTCGCGGCGGCCCCACCCCTCCGCCTCTCCGCCAATAGCCGCGGCCAGCCCACAGGGGACGCCCGGGGCTGCAGCTGACAGCCGCAGGGCCCCGCCCCGCCCCTCCCGAGAGCACTGCGTACGCGCCGCCGGACCCTCCGCCCGGCGCCGGCCCGCCTACTGCCCACGGCATGCCGGGACTTGTAGTCCACACACTGGCTCCGCGACCTCTGCGCGTGGCGTCTGGGTCAAGTCATTGCGCAGCGATTCGCCTGCTGGGGCCTGTAGTTTGCATCGCCCCCGCCGGAGTAGTTCTGGCCTTGTGCTCCTTCAACACGCTTCCATGCTCGACCAGGCTCGTGCCATGGTTCAGAGTGCGCACACCTGTCATTTCAGCTTTGCACCCTCAAAGGTACGCAGTTGGAATCCACCAGCTGCTTCGAAGAAGGATGGGCAGTCTCTTCCCATGCGCCTCTGAAAACCCGCTGGAAAGTCGATTCTGACTCGCCAGGACTCAACAACAACTGTCCCTTAGAGGAACTCTCGTGGTCTAGTTGGTAAAGAGGTGCGCTGCCAGCCCCGAAACGGGCAGTTCAAACCCACAGGAGAAAGATGGGCAGTCACCTTGAAAAATAAACCGCTTACTCGCCTCCAACTCAGACACGGAGACAGAGTTTTACCACGTACAGAAATAGGACTGAACTCGCACCTTTCAAGTTCTTTCACACTGCATAAGTTGGTTAAAACAAGACAAACAACCCCGCATTAATAGTTGGCCTAGTGGAAGGAAGCTGTGCTACCAAGCCAAAGGTGGGTGATTGTCATCTGGGGCCCTCGGCCAGGTTCAAATTGTCTTCCTGTCAAACATTCTTCTAGATGGTCTGTGCGTTGCTGTACAGAGGTAACTCGTGGTTGCTGTGATGCTGAACACTGACAGTGATGTGCCAATCGTGGTAATGGACACCCATGGTGGACAGTGTTGGCTGAAGCTTCCCGACCGAATCAAGCCTGGAAGCAGGAGCGGCATCTACTTCCAAAATTGGCTTGCCTTCGGAAACTCTATGTACGAACAGTGCTCAGGCTGTTCGTTCATAGGGTCGCTATGAGTCGTCTACGACTCGAGGGCATTAAACAACATTTAAATTTGAGTAATAGTCACATCACCTAGCTCTCCTTTAAGTCTGTGAATAACATCCTATCACCGACAGCATTATACTTCAGTATAGATCTTGAAATGGTATTTTTTTTTTTTTTGCCGTGAATGCGACACTTCGGTGTGTCGTTCTTGTCATAATATGATTTTCTGATTCAAAATAGCCAATACCAGGTCATTTCTCCTAATTAATGCTTTGCCTGTTGAACTTTTTGCATTCCATTTCATTTTTTACAATTTCCAATTTCCCTATATCCGTAAGAAGGTGCGCTGCAATCCCAAAAGCACGTGGTTCCACTCCACGAGATTCTCTGTGGGAGAAAAATGGGCAATCTCTTCCTGTGCGATTTGTTGCCTCTAAATATGGGTCAGTTCTGACTTGCTGGCACATAATAACAAATGGAGTATGAATTTGTATAGAAGAGTATATAATACAGAATTCCACTTAGCAATGAGTGTTGGCTGCTGGGTCGTCTCGTTTTGTGTGGGACTGCATCCATCAGCAGATGAAGGTGTGAAAGTTTTTGTCTCTCTTCATCATTAAGCTCAGATCTTCTTTGAGGAGGGCATCTCTGCCCCAGTCATATCTCGAGTGTCTTCTGATTTGAGGGACTCGAATCCCAGCACTGTATCAAAGTTCTGCGGCTCTTCATAGAGCTTTCATTGGCCATTTTTTTCCAGAAGTGGATCACCTCATCTCCTTCTAGTCTGTCCTGGCTTCTAGCTTCTGGTCTGTCCGGAAGCTCTGCCGAAGCCTATTCACCATAGGTGACCCTGCTGGCATAGAAATCCCAGTGATGTGGCTTCCCCCATGACAACAACACACAGGCCACCACCGTACAGTAAAGTGACAGACCAGTGGTGGAGACTCTGGTGAGGATAATGTACTGGTGGAAATGATGGGCTGTTTTTTTAAAAAAAAATTTTATTACCGTCAAATTGGATCTGACTGATACAGGAGGAGATTGCCCCTCCTTCTCCAGCAGAGCATCTGGTGGATTTGAACCCTATTACCTCTGAAATTGCGGTGCAGCTTCTTGCCATTAGGCCAACAGAGCTCCCCAAATGATGGGCTATTTCAAAAATGTGTATTTGTTACTTTAATCCACG